GTGTGTGTGTGTGTGTGTGTGTGTGTGTGTGTGTGTGTGTGTGTGTGATTTCCCCCAGGGCTTCGTGCATGCTATGAAATCACTCTACTACCTATCCCCAATAGCTTTTTTTATGACCTGTCCTTGCAAGTGGCATAGCAACACAGTCTTATTTGGAGGTAAGTCTACATAAATTTGGTCCACATTCTAGGGAAGGAAATTAGGTTCCATCATTTGAAGATAGTGTCAAAGAATTGTAAGCATCCTCTAAAACCACACACCCTTATAGCCTAAGCACACAGCTGCAGCTGTGTACCTTGGTTGCTTTAGACCCCCTCCTATTATATAATGGCTGGTCTGGAACTTTCTGTATACCTAGGCTTGCGTCATACTTGAAACAACACCTCTGCCTCAGTCTCTTAAGTGCTGGGATTACAGGCATACGCCTCCCCAACTTTACTTTATTTTTATTTTTTTAAGATTTTCAGTTATGTGTATGGATGTTGGGCGTGGGTATATATGTATGCATGCACTGGCAGAGGCCAGAATAGCTGTTGGACCCTCTGAAGCTGGAGTTATAGGCAGTAAAGTTAGCCAACTGATGTGGGTACAGGAGACTGAACTCCGGCTTTCTGCAAGAGCAATACATGCTTTTAACTGCAGAATCATCTCTCCAAGCCCCTTCTGAATTTTATTTTGAGGAGGATCTCATGTAGCCCAGACTAGCTCTGAGATCCTGATTCTCTTTCCTCTAACTCCCAAGTGCTGGGATTACAGGAATGCCTTGCCATCCCCTTAAGGATCTTTAAAATATCAGCACTGATGATGTTCTGATTACTTCCCTCATGAATCTTCTATAAAATTTCTCAGTTGTAAACAGCATTATTATTTAGACAGCTTACTGTATAAGACTGTACACATATCAATTTTAATGTTATAACACTACACTTTATACAGTCAGTCATTTATTTATTTATTTTTCCCAGGGCTGAGGACCGAACCAAGGGCCAAGCACTCTACCACTAAGCTAAATCCCCCAACAATCTTTTATCCCTTTAATTTACCCAAAGTTATTCAGATAACTTTGAAGTCTTCATTTTCTGTGTTGGTGCTTGAACCCAGAACCTTGGGTATGCTTGACAAGCAAGCTACCACTGAGCTACACTCCCACTCCCTTGTGTTTCTTGCTTTGTTCAGAATATTTCTTTTATTATCAATAAATATCTGATATATATCTACCTGTTAAAATTTAGTCCAGCTTTCAAAGGTTTACCTTAAACGCACTTTCTCCTTGAGGCCTTCCCCCAGAGCTGTGCTTAACGATTCCTTGTACCTTTCCGTGGGATATGGCACAGAACACATTTTGATTTACTTGCTTTTTCCTACTAGATTGTAAATTCTTTGAGAGTAGAATTTTGTTTCCTTGCAATACAAGAACCACAAAGCACTTGTTCACTGAAGTCCTACAAGGTATCACTCTATTAAACCGTCACGGGCTGGCTAGCGCATGCGCCTTGGGTAGCGCATGCGCCCCAGCGGCGAACACGCCGCGGCTCAGCTGTGACGTAGCACCCCGCGCCACCCTTCCCGCCGCCCCTGCCGGCAGCCGTTTCGGTCCAGAGTCGAAGATGGCAGAAGAAATTTCTCAGGGAAAGTCGGCGGGCCAGGTGTGCACCTTCTTCAAAAAGCCCGGGCGGAAAGGGAACGCTGGCCGCCGGAAGCGCCCGGCGTGCGACCCGGACTCGGGGGAAAGCGGAAGCAGCAGCGATGAAGGCTGCACGGTTGTGCGGCCGGAGAAGAAGCGGGCCACCCACAATCCAATGATCCAGAAGACGAGCGGCAGCGGCAAACAGAAGGCGGCCTACTACGATGTGAGCGGCGAAGAGGAGGAGAAGACGGAGAATGAGAGTTTGGGCGTGGTTTACAAGTCCACGCGCTCCGCGAAACCGGTGGGGCCGGAGGATATGGGGGCAACGGCAGTCTACGAGCTGGACACAGAGAAGGAGAGAGACGCACAGGCCATCTTTGAGCGCAGCCAGAAAATCCAGGAGGAGCTGAGAGGCAAGGAAGATGACAAAATCTATCGTGGAATCAATAATTACCAGAAATACATGAAGCCCAAGGATACGTCCATGGGCAATGCCTCCTCTGGCATGGTGAGGAAGGGCCCCATCCGAGCCCCCGAACATTTACGTGCCACCGTGCGCTGGGATTACCAGCCGGACATTTGTAAAGACTACAAGGAAACTGGCTTCTGTGGCTTTGGAGACAGCTGCAAATTCCTCCATGACCGTTCGGATTACAAGCACGGCTGGCAGATAGAACGTGAGCTTGATGAGGGCCGTTACGGTGTGTATGACGACGAAAACTACGAAGTAGAAAGTGATGATGAAGAAATACCTTTCAAGTGTTTCATCTGTCGCCAAACCTTCCAAAATCCGGTTGTCACCAAGTGTAAACATTATTTCTGTGAGACCTGTGCACTGCAGCATTTCCGTACCACTCCACGTTGCTATGTTTGTGAGCAGCAGACCCATGGGGTTTTCAACCCTGCGAAAGAACTGATTGCTAAACTGGAGAAGTATCGAACAACAGAGGGTGGTTCTTCCAACACCCCAGAAGACCCTGATGGGGTCTGATTGTCCATAATTGTCAAGTCTCAAAGTACTTTTTGTTTTGGTCACCAACGCAACCATAATTGAAGGAATGTTAAGTTTTCTAGGAAGAATATCTAAATTTTGTTTTATATGACAATGCTGCAGATGGGATCAATACAGTTAACTCATGGAACTCTTAGACTGCCTGCCCATCCTGTGTATAGCTATACATTCTGAGTCCAAATAAATGTGATTTTTTTTCTGATGTGATTTTTTTTCTCTCTTAAAGAACAATATTGCCACCTATTGGAGAAGTAGATTTCAGACCTTTAAAAGAGGGCTGTTGTGGAATATTTAAAATTCAAGGACAGAGTTACTGCCTTACTGGAAGGGGGCAGTTGTGTGGAATCTGTAGAAGTGAGGCAGATATGAGGGCCCCATATACTTAAAATTGTGATGTATACATTAGCTAACAGATTATTTGTATAGAATTCGTTGTGCAGCTTGAGTCTAAATACACTTAGCTTATGAAAAGGAATTCAAGTCAGGTATCTTAAAGGAAAAAAGAATGGAAGGCAGATTAGTGTGTGTGTGTGATGTCCGTGTGAGCGCGCTCTGACTGCGCTTAGGGAGGTCAGTCAGATGACAACTGTGCAGTTATCTCCATCCGCTTTTAATTACAAAACTCAAACTAAGTTGCCAGGCTTATGTGACAGACACCTTTATCCCTTTACCTCTCGAGCCTCACTTGCTCCTTGTTTGGGTTTTTGAGACAAGTCTCAAACTGACTTGCAATTCAGGTATTCTAGCCAGGTCTCAAATATGGGATTCTTTTGCCTCAGGCTTCCAATTGCTGGGATTACAAGTGTGAGTCATAATGCTTAACCACTATATCACCTTAACTTTTATTTAGTTGTGTGTGTGTGTGTGTGTGTGAAGTCAGAATACAAGTTAGAGTCAGTTTTTTTTTTTCCACTGTGAGAGCCCTGGGTACCTTTACCCATTGAGC